ATGTGCAGGCTAAAGTTGAAGTTTTTATATATGTTTGCAGCTGGGTTCTACACGTACTCTATATTCGCTTTGGTTTTTTGGGAAACAAGACGGTCTGATTTCGGAGTTTCGATGGGTCATCATATCACAACTGTTATTCTGATTGTCCTCTCCTACGTCTGCAGGTATGTATACAGATTATATGGATGACTTTGTTGTGGAGGAAAAAGGATCTATGTTTAGTTTGATCTTCTTTTTGTTATCGATGTTGGTAGATTCGCTCGTGCTGGTTCCGTTATTCTAGCACTCCATGATGCAAGCGATGTGTTTCTTGAAGTTGGGAAAATGTCGAAATATAGCGGAGCTGAAAGTATTGCAAGCGTTTCGTTTGTTCTTTTCTCTTTGTCTTGGGTCGTTCTACGTCTCATTTACTATCCTTTTTGGATCCTTTGGAGCACAAGGTTTGTTTATACAAATCATATCCAATGCGCTTGTGTTTCTTGAATGTTTTGATGCAAGTATATTGATTTGTGATTTGCAGCTATCAAATTATTATGACGGTGGACAAGGAAAAGCATCCGATCGAAGGACCGATTTATTACTACATGTTCAATACTCTTCTGTTTTGCTTGCTTGTTCTTCATATTTTCTGGTGGGTTTTGATTTACCGGATGCTTGTGAAACAAGTACAGGATCGAGGCAAGCTTAGCGAAGATCTCAGATCCGGTATGCATTCAAAATCTATTTACAATAAAAAACAAAAAAATCCGAACTTTGTTGGATCTGTTAAAGCAGAGATTATAAAGTTGATGTCTTTTGCAGATTCTGAAAGCGATGATGAACACGAGGATTGATCGCGGCCGGGAATTTGTTTTTCGTGCTCTGTTTCCATGATACTGAACCAAACAGAGTTTGAGAACAAACTGTTCTGTTTCAACATCAAGCAGGATTCATTGCAGGTTGTTTTTGCTAAAATCTTATCAGTTAGTTCATCTTCCAGAGTATCCAACCAGATAAAATCATTTTTAAATGGATCGGTTTCTCGATCAGGATTTGAGTTTATTCATTTCTCTAGTTTGAGCAAATTTAAGATTTTGATTAGACACATTGCTCACTAAACTTGCTTTCACTTTTTTCGTTTTTTCCTTCTACAGTTTTAATTTATGATTGAGACTTACATTTACTGGTTTTGGGTCGCTGCAAAAACACAATTCATTGTATCACTGAAATGTCATAGCATATTTTGGTAAACGACGATATTTTTGTTACTGTTACACCAATTAAACATTTTGATTACACAGATTTAAAAATGACTATATTATTGAATTTTGTATGTGACAAATGTTGTGTTATTATTTGTGTTTGTGAATTGACATAAATTTTGTGCTACACTAATGACTCCGTTTTATTTTAGCATCCAAAGATATTCGTAAGATAAAATGTTGACGGTCTTGCACTGAGTCTTTCTTTGCACTGAGTCTAAAACCGATTGACCAAAAGACATTCTCTCATAGCATTCACAAATGCTGAATTTCAATTATTTTCGACGATTACAAGTCTGTAGTAGAAGACAGGTTTCCTTCAAAAGTTGCATTTGTTCCGTGATATATATTGTCCAATCTGTTTTGAAAAATACATTTTGGATAGTGATTTTTCATACAACAAATATTTTTACAAGATCACTATTATTTCAACTTTTTATCTGTAATGTCCATGCCTAGTCTGTATAGACACAAAATATCTATGTTCTAAAACGCGGCCCGCCTAAAAGATTCAACAGCTTCTAATCGCTTATCGGGTGTTAAACTGAGTTAGCTCGCTCGGCTCACCTCAGCTCATGATGAGTTAAGAGTATAGTATTTTACGGCTCATCTCGGCTCGGCTCATTTATTATACGAGCTTAAGAACGAAAAGCTCGAACTCAGATCATCTAGATCGTGATCTAAATGAGCTAGCTCGCGAGCTCATAAGAAAGAAATGTAAGAACAAAATAATTAAAAGTGAAACTATTATAAAATCAAAATTTATCTTTAAATGTTATAAATGTTTTTAAAAAATCCAAATAATATTGTTATTGAATGCTAAATCAAAAACCAATCCAATACCACATACGCTAAGACAATGGCAATTAACGTAGATAATTAAAAAGTGAAAAAAATATATTACCATTTTTATCGGCTATAAAACTAAATAACCAAGATTGAGTGCATAGTAGAGACTGGACGTGTTTAGGATGAAAACGACTTCGATATTTGTTTAATGGATTGTTTCTATTTTTGCTTTAGTTAAAAGAGAACAAGA